AGATGTCTGCTTTATTAAATCGGAACTTTAAGGATAGTTTTGCCTTGGTCTCTGATTTAATTCTACATGATACTAGGAATGCTGACACCAAGCATCTTTCTTTTAACAAGGATTTAAAAAAATCTTGAAATTCTTCAAAAGGACGATTTGCTTCTTAACGATTCTTGCTTTTTAAATTTATTGTTCTTTCGATTTATTTTGTTTTGGAAGGGAGAAAAAGAAATGGGATGGGATACCTGGAATAATGCCATAAAATAGATTCAGCACTGAGGATGACAATCTTATTGTAGGTTGCAAAATGTCTATAAAGCCTGCAGGAAGGAAACCTGGGCAATATCTTACATAAACAGGGAATCTATTCTGATATATTGATGGAAACAAAGTAGATGCACTGCGACAAAAAAGCTCACCAATCTCCCATTACTTCCATAATTTCTTTGGCAAAATATAAATGTCATGTTCAGCCGAACAGAGTTTATAATAGGGAAAAGAAGCATTAACTATCTAGTAAAATAGATCGACTTCCACGCACTGTTACAAATAGTAGACAACTCCTTCAGGGTCTGAGCAGCCTAGTCCTTCATATTACTGCAATTAATATAAGTTACCACAAATAAAAAAATGACAGTTTCCAGATAAGCTCTTGCCCATCAGGACAACAATTGAGTATGATCTCCAATTGCCTTGAATATACAATTAATATTCTTGCTGAGCATTGGCCTTGCTAAGATAAATCTTTGGGGGGGGACCGTTATTTACTTTCAGAAACACTGGGGATCAAGATTCCTATGTCTGAATGACTTTTGTCCCTTTAAAAAAAGCACAAAAATATATTTCCTGCACATATAACTGTATGCATAATTATGGATAGAAAAAAATATATAGTCTTGCCATTTCTTTGAACGATTTTGCCTCTGCCTGGATCATTTTCAGACGGGAAGCATTAAGTACTGTATTTTAATCCCTTTACCTGTATGTCCCATTTATTTCATTTATAAATAACCACAGACTTTGCTTCTAAGAATAAGCGAAACAGAGCCTGCTACTCACCATCGAATTTCTTGTGCCTCGATACAAATGTGGTGCGGACAAAATGGCTTGTCTTGTCCATCAGATTCTCGAATTCCAGTTTGCTTTGCTGGCTTAGTTTGTCTTCCATTTCTGAAGTGCAACATGTGTATTCCTGAGGGCAGATTCTCAAGTGTTCCCCTGCAAGGAAAGGACATGAATGCAAACCATAAGAAAGATTGGGCATGCATAGTGTCACATTCTGTCGTGTGCTGATATATTCCACAGGTATTTTTAACAATCAGGCTCCACCAGATAATTTTATAATTAAGATGTCACTATCAAGATAGAGGTCCTGTTCCTAGGGCCTTCTTCTCTCCACCTCTCTGCAAGTTAGACTTACCATATTTTCCGGAGTACAAGACACACCTTTTTGCCTCAAAAAAGAGGCTGAAAATCTGGGTGCATCTTATACACTGAGTACAGCATATTTTGCCTACTGAAACCCTGCCCCCTTCACCAAAATGGCCGTGCAAAGACTGAAGGAGGCTTGCAGAGTGTACCTGGGGGCTAGGGAGGGCAGAAATTAGTGAANCAGCTCTGCTGGCTGGGGGATTCTGGGAGTTGAAGTCCACAGGACTTAAAGTCGCCAAGGTTGAGAAACACTGATATAGATCAAGGGTGTCAAACTCACAGCCTGTTGTCCGGATACATCATGCGCTTTTTAGTCCCCAAAACCCTCTTTTTATTTCATAATAATGAGTCTTAAATAGTTGTACAGTAGGCTGCCAAAGTCTTTCGAGATAAGGCTGATAAGCACCCACCTTTATCTTCCTTGAAACGCTGCCAAAGACTCAATTGGCAATTAGCTTGGCAAGGTCACCCAGAGCAGAGAGTCAAAACGGAGCTTCAGAAGGTAAACTGACCAGCATGAACCACGTTGCTTCCTCCTGTGCCTTTGTTCCTCCTTTATGTCCTATGGGAGGGGCCAATCACCTCCAAGCCTTACTCCCGAGTCGTCCCTTCTGTCTTAACTGTTCTTGCCTTCTGACAGCTCTGCGCATGCGCACACTGAGAACAGGGGGAGTCTGTTCCTCTGCCTCACTGCTGTCCGACTCTGGATGCTCCAGAGGCAGCACATAACTCCCAGAGGGCCCCAGGCCCCTCTCTGCCTGTGTTGCAGAGCCTCATCAGAGCCTTTCCCAGACTCCAGAACTGGGCCATGTTCCTCCCCAACCTCCTTGATGTCCGACTCTGCTGCCAGCTCGGCAGGCCGCCAGCGGACCACAACAATTAGTTTGATTTTACTTTATGCAAATGATATGATCTCTCTTTGTGGCAAAAAATTGCTTGGACAGTATCAACCTCCATCATATAAATACAAATATTGTTTTGGGGAAACCATCAAAGGCGACATGATCTACTGAGGATTTGCAACGGAACAATGTAAACAAATTAATTCTTGAGTGCAGGCTTTCATGAGACAATATCTTGATAAATTCACCCAGATTATGATTAAATAGCATCCTTATTTCAAGCAATTATTATATAAACACCTGGGGATTCCATTGCTAATACGTTTATTTATAGGCTTCCTTTCTTAATTACTGAAGCATTTGTAATCCACATTCCAGAAAATCTTAAAACAATAATAAAACAACTTATTTCTTTGCACCCTACTCTTCTTAATGCTCATGGCCTCTGTCTTCGCATTTAATAATTGAAATGAATGGAGCCTGGATATTTCAAAGGAAAGTGGCCTGCCACAGAAATAATCATATTTGTCTGAATCCAAATCAACTGGAAATGGGTTTCAATACATAGAAATATCCATAGCGAACATCCTTCAAGTTTTCTTCATCACCATAGGCTGACTACTAGGTAGTCATATGCAAAGGAGATGAAATGTTCTGCCTTTTGTTCTGTTAATTCTACTATACATCTGAAACTATTCAGCCCTATTCAGATAAAACAAAGCAGTGGCCCTTCATGGATCCTCATTTCGGCTTCCTGTGTGCAGAGAGGGAGGGGTTCTTTAGAAGGGTATAAAGCAGCAACCATCTTGTCCTGGCCTTCTTGGACACCATAAAATCTAAAGGAGAAAGGATGAGTGTTTAATTTCCAGTATCCTAGCAATTCTTTAGCAATGCCCAAAGGCCCACTGGAGTCTGACTTCACCCACCTAACTAGGAAGACTGCCCAGATTTTTCTAGCCTGACCCCTATCAGATGCACAAGGCCCTCAAGCCTCATAGTCCTATAGTTACTACAAGCACTGATCTTGATGGCTGAAGAGAATGGAAGCTGGTGTCCATTAGCTCTGGAGATCATCAGTCCGAAAATGCCACTCTGTTGCCCCAAACCCTTTATCTTCATGGCTTAGGCCACAGAGGGAGTATGCAGTCATTTAAGGCACCTTCCCGCTGGCTTCAATTGTGAAATGAGACAAGCATTGCCAGCAGAGGTGGATTCCTACTGGTTTGGACTGGTTCAGTCGAATAGGTAGTAACTTTGCTTGTCATGCTCCTAAACTGGTTCTCCCAGTGCCATAAGCGCCTCCATCTTGTTTTTTGCTTCTGCACATATACAGAAGCATTTTTAGTACTGCGCATGCGCCCTGCATGTCACTGAGAGAACCGGAAGTAGCAGCAGCCCGAACCCACCCCTGATTGCCAGTACTATCACTCCCCCTTCCCTGTCTATTATGTTGTTTGAATGTGGCATGGATTTCCTAAACTTTGGGATATATAATAAATGCAATGCTTTCTGTTGTTTTCTACAATCTGTTTGTTAAACTTTATTTTCAAAACCCAATATTCTCCTATCTCCTTCATCTACTGCAACTTAAACACGGATCAAACCACCGCAGGCTTTACCTGTTGATTGATCAACATGGCAAGAATATGAGTTTCTTTGCTGCTGATTCTCTATACATTTGGCTGCAAGGTGGTGGCCAAAGCAGAGAAGAATAGGATTGGTGTGATAGTGGTCCATAAAAAGCATCCCGATCCATGTCTTGTATCCTGCAAAGAAATAGCAATCCCTTTACTTGGGAAGAAAAGTCATCTACAAATGGGATCTGATTGAGCTTCTAGAACAGGGGTGTCGAACTCATGTCATCACAATGGCGTCATAAGACGTATCAGGATATTTTCCCCCTTCATTAAACCAGAGGTGGGCATGGCCATCGCATAATGGATCCAATTGGTGGGCTGGGAGTTTGATAGCCCTGTTCTAGAAAATTGTAATTGAATTGAATTGAATTGAATTG